AAACACAACTCCCATGTCATCGGATATGTTAAGGGAAATGCATTCGTAGGCCTTATCAGAGTAGACGGAGTGACATATAATTTAGAAACAATTACCCAATCAGATGATCATTATCTTCAAAACAGACATCAAGTGATTATGTCTAAAGAGGACAACCTTTCCTTTGACGGCAACTCTACCTCTGATCTCAAACCATATGCGATGCCATCCGCGAGAAGACCATTGAAACCACCAAAATATAGATACCGACCGCAAACACAACCTATAATAAGAATGTCCAACAATAAGATCTGTGGTCTGGATGTGTTTGGTGATCTTCATTTTACCAGAACATTTGGGTCCAGTGGTGCGATCGCAGAGATGTTGATTACTGTGAGAGAAGTGAATCGCATGTATTCAAGAACTGATTTCGATGGCGACGGACTGTCCGACAACATCGGTGTCCATCCAGTCAAATGGACAGTTAGTACGGGTGCCGACCCTTTGTTTGACACCAGAGAAACAAATGGGGAAAGACTATTGAGAAAGTTTCAAAGACGTCTGACTGATCACTGCATTCAAGTTCTGTTTACTCATCAGAATCTAGAATATTCTGGTAAAGCGGTTACAGGTTTAGCTAATTTGAGAGGTGTTTGTCGTAAGCAAACGGTTATCAATGGTGAGCTTCAGTCACCCAATTCATTGCTGGTCTCAAGCCTTTCAGATAATAAAGTATTGAATAGAGTTCAGAGAATTATTGATTTGGCGCATGAAATCGGACACTCGTTTGGTGCCACTCATGATAACGAAGACTTTGAGGACAACCGTGAGTGCAATNGTGTTTGTCGTAAGCAAACGGTTATCAATGGTGAGCTTCAGTCACCCAATTCATTGCTGGTCTCAAGCCTTTCAGATAATAAAGTATTGAATAGAGTTCAGAGAATTATTGATTTGGCGCATGAAATCGGACACTCGTTTGGTGCCACTCATGATAACGAAGACTTTGAGGACAACCGTGAGTGCAATCCCGACGACCACAATGGCGGTCCCTTTATTATGTCGACCATACACTCCGATATCACATATCAAGTGCACGACTTAATGAACAAACAAATGTTCTCCAATTGTGTCGGTTTTTATTTTTATTTTCCACTTCATATTGATTTGTATAGAAATTATTTCTTAAAACAAAATTTTCTTTTTAGAAATCCTAAATCACTTTTACTATGTATTGGAATCTCAAATCAATAACTAATAATTTTATTTGAAATTTAGAGCAAAAGACTTATTAGGAGTGAATTAATGAATTCAGAGAGAAATGAATGCTTTGTTTTGAGACCGAAAGCCAAATGTGGAGACAGTGTTTGTCGTAAGCAAACGGTTATCAATGGTGAGCTTCAGTCACCCAATTCATTGCTGGTCTCAAGCCTTTCAGATAATAAAGTATTGAATAGAGTTCAGAGAATTATTGATTTGGCGCATGAAATTGGACACTCGTTTGGTGCCACTCATGATAACGAAGACTTTGAGGACAATCCTGAGTGCAATCCCGACGACCACAATGGCGGTCCCTTTATTATGTCGACCATACACTCCGATATCACATATCAAGTTCACGACTTAATGAACAAACAAATGTTCTCCAATTGTGTCCGTTTTTATTTTTATTTTCCACTTCATATTGATTTGTATAGAAATTATTTCTTAAAACAAAATTTTCTTTTTAGATGTCCTAAATCACTTTTACTATGTAATGGAATCTCAAATCAATAACTAATAATTTTATTTGAAATTTAGAGCAAAAGACTTATTAGGAGTGAATTAATGAATTCAGAGAGAAATGAATGCTTTGTTTTGAGACCGAAAGCCAAATGTGGAGACTTTGAAGTGAATAGCGATGAAGAATGTGATGCCGGAAGTGAAGAGATTTCTAGTTTTGTTGATCCGTGTTGTGAAGCCACTGGAAGTGCTCGTGAGTGTAGATTTAAAGAAGGCATTGAATGTCATCCCCGGGAAGGTATGATTGATAGCTGGGCTAAACTTAATCCATCCATTAGAATATTCTAAATAATTTTTATTTAAAGATCATTAAGAAACTCTAATGTTGATTAACACACTAAACAGACAGACATCCAAGCACAACATTACATTTCTGTACATTTAAGAACGTAACCTCCCTGAAACCCAACAACTGTCGTATAGATTGCTGGGAACCGGTACTGTGTTTGGGTAAATCAGCCAAATGTCCGGTGCGGGAACCACTTCCCGAAGGTTCTAAGTGTTGGAACTGTTCATCTGATGCTTGTATTTGTGATAAGACAGGAGTTTGTATTAATAAATATCAAACCGTAATTAAACCGACTCAAAATCCATATCCTAAACCCCTGTCCCTTGGGAGGGGCGTATTTTATTTGATAAGGTAGCATTATAGGCGACAATACTGGTGTAAAACGACCTAAACCCCAAAGAAACTGATGCAAACCCTAATATAATGTTTAGTTACCGAAATAGCCTCTGTAGCCTGTTCTTCAATATGTTCTTTAAGAGTTTTAGACGAAACGATTCCGTTGTCTGATTTCAGTGATTCCGATGACTCAGACCATGAGCACCACCGATGACTACACATACGCTCTATATTTATCTTACCATTAGTTATATTAATTTAACCCTTATTTGTACACTAAACTCACAGTTTGTTATAAAACTTTAGATTTTCTTTTTAAGTTTTGTAATACTGTATTTTGTTGTTTATAACTTGTTTCTATAATTACATAATTTATGAACTTGTTCAAATTTTAAGAAATTAATTAAATATAAGCCTATTATTTATTTTTATGTCATTCTGTAAATTTATCATTTAAAAGACATATAACTAAACATTAATTAAATGTATTTTACTCATAATTTATTTGAAAAATTCTATTTATAACTATTTAGTTCATTGAATATTAAAAATGGGAAGTATTTGAAATTAAATGATTGCAAAAATCATTTTAAGATGCTATAAAATTATTTTTAAATACTATTTGATAAGTTTGACGTATAATAAATTCGCGAGTTCATTTATAGAAAATTTTCTGAAAATTTAATTACAGTAATATTCACTCAATACTATTAAAAATACTGTATCGTAAATAAATTTTAAACATTTTATTCTCAAGATTTAAACGTGTAATTAATATTTTATCTATTTTATCAAGTTCCTTATAAAAGTTTTCATATTTTGCACAAATATTTATGTTATTTGTACAGTATATGATTATTTAATAGTAACGAATATAATTTATTTAAATATTTAGATCAAATAAATGACAAAATTTGCAAAAAATCAATCCCGCTATCGGTGCCAATGCGTCAGCGCAACCTCCCGGCCTCCTTCTTCAAGCCGCCCGACGGCGCCCACAGCGCCTCCCACTCACGCGAGTCCAGTCTCGACGCCTCCTTCTCGCCCCCTCTCTCGCAGCCGTCCGCCACGGGTTCGCCGCTCAGTCCGGCGTCACCCCAACAGCAGACCCTTCAGCAGATGTCTGCCCTCCCGACTGGTCTCACGATAAGCCATCCGAGAGCCCACTCGTCTCCGGCGTCTCTCCAGCAGACTCTAGCCGTGTCTGCGGCCATGGCTTCGGGCCAACAGCCCATTCATATGCGGAACTACTCGTACGACATCGACTCGATCCCACTGCCCGAGGGCTGGCAGATGAGTAAGACTGAGTCCGGCGAATGCTATTTCATTAACCACAACAATAAGACCACTCAATGGGAGGACCCGCGCAAGAAGCAGATCCAGCAGCAGCTCCAACAACAAACACAACCCAGACTTGTGGTCGTCTCGCAAACCAATAACAACACCAATAATGCCATTAATAACACGAACGCCGGTTCGGCAACTAATCTGTCCTCCAGTTTGGGTCCCTTTCCTAAGGGCTGGGATTCGGCCCGAACTGAGAACGGAGACGTCTATTACATCAGTCATATCGAGTGTAGGACCACTTGGATCGACCCCCGACTGCCTCCCTCTCAACAACAAAGTAGAGCTCAACTGCACAACGGACGGACACCTCCGCCGCCATTCGTCGCAAACACAGTACCGCCGAGTCTTGTGGCGGCGCTCCAGAACATGAACACATCGGGCAGTAACTCGACTACCGATGCCCTGCGCCTCCAACAGCAACAACAACAACAACATCAGCGCACTCTTCTCAACCTGGAGTTAGAGCGCCAAAAGTTGCGCCAAAGACAGAGCGAGATCCTCTCGAAGCCATCATCTCTTGTCGACAACTCAACCGGCATTCGGTTGGCCAGCACTGGGATCGACCCGTTCTTAAGCGGCAACAACAGTGCCTTCAATAATGATTGCCACTCGAGACAAGAGAGCGCCGACTCGGGCTTAGGGTTGGGCTCTAACTATAGTCTTCCGCACACTCCCGAAGACTTCCTCAACATTGAGGACGCGCTCAATACAGGAGACGACACCAATAACATGAGCCGCAGCAACGACTTAGGTCTCGAGGGGCTGGCAGTGGGTAACCTGGACCTCGTGCCCGAGAACATGGAGTCGGACGACTTGGTGCCCACTCTGACCGACTTCGGCACCGACATCCTGTCTATCGTCGAGGAACAGCTCGAGAACAACAGGGATAACATAATGACTTGGCTTTGATTTGATTGACAAGACCTACAGGCGCTTCAAATGACGCGAAAACAATTGAGTATTTTCTATACAAAGCAAAACAAACAAAACTAAAAAACTTTTTTTCCGATAATGTCTTAAATTAATTATAGAGTAATTAAATGGTGAAACAATGCAAACAAATGCTATAAAAACTTATAATTAGAGTTTAACAATTCAAATCAATTGACAATTGAGTCCATAATTATTTCGCATAATAATTGTCGAGTAATACAGAAATAGAGATACCCTTACTTTACTTAAGCGAATATTTTTGTGATTAATATTCGTGTCTTAATTACCGCACTGTTTATTGTTATCATATTTACTATATTATAGTTTTGTGTTTTATTTGTATTGTTTTTCCCACTTATGATTATCTGTTGACAACTTTTATTTTTCAACTAAATCTTTACTGGTTTTATTGCCTTAAATAGTATTTTGCGAAACTATTGTTTAATAATCATGTTTTTGACCATTTTTTAGATGTATTCTCTCATCATTATAATTATTATTTTGAATGCTATTACTATTACGAGAAAACTATAACTCTTTACTGCCTTCACTTTCAAATGAAATAAGAGTTTCAATGTTTGAATGAACTAAAACTTGGTTCATAACCAAATGAATCAATTGTTTAGTGTTAGTGTTTTATTAATCTGTAAACCAAATGTTTTTACTGTTATATTTACTGTTACTGTTAAACTGAAAATGGGTGTTAAGTTAACGCAAATCCCATTATTATTCATTGGAAGCAATAATGAATTGCGATTTTGCGGTCACAATACACATACATATACTAAGAGCTCTTAATTATGATTGTCATACAAATCACTTGAATTTCATTATAAGTTAATATAACATAATTTGTTTGAATGGCAGCCAATGTGAAGCAGCTATTAGTTCATGAGAGCTATGTTTAGTTAAACAACTCATCAGACAATCCGATCCCTATTATAGTATTTACAGCTAATATTGAAGTATATTTTTATATATTTTATTTGAATATGAAAAATCAAAGTGCCTCACAGTCTCTATGAAATAACAGTTTGATTATACACACAATAATTTTATGATTATATAAATAATTATTTTATTTCTATTTTATACAAAGCCTTCGCTGTTTAATATAAACGACTGGTGTTATCGAAATCCAATCCCAAAATGTGTTGTTTTCGACACTTGTTTTTAGGGCTCTTTATGATTACAATTATTTTATTTTTTGCAGTTTTGTTATAGTTTTTTGGTGTAATGAATGAGTATTTTCAAAATTATTACATTTTTCAAACATTATTTGAGTCGCAAAATGTAATGACAATTGAAACCAATTAATCGCATCTAATTTTAATTTAATTTATGTATTGATATATCATTTCGTGTTGTGTTGAAACGGCAGCTCAAACTGTAGTTGACATTCATTATAATTATTAATTATAATTATTATTATATATTATATTATCATTTCGTAAGCAATTCTACACAACAAACCCGTCGACCACTACTGGTGTTTAGATTTTTAAAAATGAATTTTACCGAAAACTACTGATTCACTGATAACTAATGTCTCCAAATGTGAAACAATGATAAACCAAATGTTATGTAAAACGAACTTAAGATATAAAACTTGTAAAAGTAGTGCCTTATTATGTGATGAAAACGCTTTTCATGCAGTTTCAAATATCATAAACTTTCAAACTATGTTTTAATGTAATTTAAATCTCAATTAAATTGCGTTAAATATACATATAACTTGTATAAAACAAGTGCCAAATTGTTTTCAATATAAACTACTATTATATCGAACACAACATTATTTTGAACAACATTTTTATTTAATAATATCCTAAACAATATTTTAAGTTAAAACTTATTATACATTTAATTATATATATCATTTTTTAATGATTTTAGGTTTATTTTTATGTAAACCAAATGTGTTTAAACCTATTTGATTGTAAAACTTCTTTTGGTTTAAGTTAACTATTATTATATTCAATAATAATTTGCACACAAATACCGGTAGACATTTGTAGACTTGTTTTGCTGCTTAAAAATAAAGTTTTTAAAGCTATTATTGCCTATTATTTCTATTTTTGTCATTTTATTTCTTTGCCACTCCATTGATAATGTGAAACATATATCCAATCAAACCATTAATGCTTTTCATTCCCAACAATCGGGAAGTCTTCACATAATTACCCATTTATTGCACAGGATATTGGCGTATAGTATATACAGATATTACTCACTTGTTGTTAATTAACTATCGTTTAGTTTTACTCGGATCAATTAGATTGATCAATTCAAATGAGTGCAGTCAAACCTTAAAACAACTTATATTACTAATTATAGTGAATTTGTTAATGAATGACCAATAGTCTAAACATGAGACTGGTTATGTTTATGATTTGCATTCAGAAATACTAGACTAAATAATCATTAAGTTCTCAATTACTACATTAAGTTCTCATATGACTGATTATAAATATTAGTTTTAATGAATTGTTTTATTTTTTTGTCTCTTTAATGATGAGAACTCAAGTGATTCATAAAATACTAATTTTTAATTCAGAAAACTTAT